GAAAAAAAAAAAAAAAAAAAAAAAAAAAGACTTGGAGGAGTTTCTATAATGTACTATAGAGCAAAAGAAAGAAAGCAAGACACAAAGGGGTGAACCTAATTTGATTTCATTGTATAAAGCAATGCCAAATAAGCCCTTGAATAAATACACATATACAAATATTATATTTTATGATATGTGTATGAGAATGAAGAAAGCTATGCTCCATACATATCAATTATTAAAGCTAGTTTCATGATTAAGGACAGTGGGTTGTTGTGGTATGAATATATAAAAAGCAAATGTATATGAATCTATTAGAGTAAAATTAGACATATGAATGAAAAAGTGCATAAAATCATGTTGACCAAAAGAAATGGTCTCCTTAACAGTCTTTATAACTAGGAAACTTTTATCATATATTTTTAAATTGATACACAATTGTTAATATTTATAGGGTGCAGTATATTTTAATACATGTATGTAATATGTAATAATTAGATCTGAGTAATTAGCATACCCATCATCTCAAACATTCATCATTTCTTTGTGTTGAAAAGAATCAAGATCCTCTCTTCTAGCTATTTTGAAATATACTATAAAAATGATGGAAGGAGTGGGGAGGGAGGGGGATATTAGGTGACGAAAAACAAAAAAGAGGCAAAAAAAGAATTAAAATCTATTATGTACATGTTCCAACTCCCCATGATAATTGTAATCATTATGTACTGCAAACACATACCAATCATTTTTTTAAAAAATGATTGAACAGTAATTCTACTGAAAGAGCCATCTCAACAATAAAATGGTCTTAAATCCACCTACACTGAGAGAATAAGTGCAGTGGGGATAGGACTGCAAGAATGAAAGAGCTTCCCAAAGACTTCAAATCAGGAAGCTGAAAAGCAATTTTTCCCATGTTTTGTGTATTTGCTTCCCAAAGAATTCTGTTCTGTTTTCCACTGCATAGCTATGTTCTAGATCTGCAGGGGGGGAAAATGTTTTTTTCTGAAAGAGATAGCAATTTAATTTTATGTATTTCCCCTTTTAGTTTGCTGGAAATTTTCCTCTTCCTTGTTTGCATATCTAATGACTCCTGTCTTCTCAAACACATGTGTGTCCACATTCCCAATGTTAAATCACATAAACTACATATTTTACAGCAGCCAACTCAACAGAGAAGTGCTCCTGACATCTCTTTCACCATTGATGCAAATAAACAACAAAGGCAGCTGATTGCAGAACTAGAAAACAAGAACAGGTAAGGCTTTGTAGATGTGTTGGCTTTTTCATCAAATGTATGTGTTCATCGTAAGTCTCCATGATTTTCACCCTGTGTACATATTTACAGGAAGTTGGCTTTTGAAAAGTTGATTCTTACCTCTTTAGATCTACAGAAGCTTCATTTAGAACTATACATGACTGTCCTTTAGATAGCCTTGTTTCCCTTTTTCTGACACATTTATTTTTGTAACAAGCTATAGAACAACTAGGGCCTTCCTAGGAAACAGGCAGCGTTCCTCTGCCAACTAGTTACAAGTAGGAGGCTCATCTGAGATGCTTCCTATAAGGGTCCCAAATGAAAGAGGCACTTGGAGCAGAAACACCATCACCCAATTGTTCAACGCAAACAACTCCGTGTCCACGCCATCAGCAGGTCCTCTTTCTGTTCAACAGATTGAGTCTGTTTCCATAACAAATCTGAAACCTGTCCACCTCATCTATACCACCAGCTCCCAGTCCAACTTGTCATTTTTAAAAACAAATCATATCATGTTATTTACAAAAATCATATGATGGTTTTCCAGTACACTCTGATTAAAATCCACACTGCTTACTGTGATCCATAAGGACCTACCCCTCCTGCCTCCCTTTTAGCCACAGCTGCACCTGCTCATCACACTCCAGCCTCTTGTGCCTTCTTGCTGTCTTACATCCTTTGCACTGGTCATTCTTTTCATGATGGTTCCTCAAAAACCAAATCTCAGTTTAGTGTCACCTCCTAAAGACCTCTCTTCTAATTTTGCCCATTACTTCCTATTCCAGCAGCTGTCTGTTAGGTCATGTGTGTGTGTGTGTGTGTGTGTGTGTGTGTGTGTGTGTTACCTATCGCTATCTGAAATTATCTTATGTAAGTGTTTGCTTCCTTGTTTATTGCTTGTCTTTTCTAATTTAAAATGGGAATTCTTTAAGAACAAAGACCATGCCGAATATGCTCTGGGCCCCAGAACCACCCCTGTAATATTACAGATGCTAATGAATATATGCTGAATGATAAAATAATAAATAGCTGAGTCAGTTCTCAAACTCAGTCCTGAGTAAGCCCATCATCAGAACAACTTGCATATTATGTATTTCTAAGAATAGAGCCAAACTATCTTAATGTTTGATCCTATTGTTAAACACTGCTGTCCTGTTTGAAATTATACCACAGCGGAAAAGGGTATGATAATCATTTTATCCCTGGAGAGCTTGACCTGAGAACTTTGTTATAAATCGTCAAAACATGCTTTAAAGCTCTACAGATAAAAATTAAAAGGGCCAGGCATGGTGGTGCACACCTGTAATCCCAGCACTCAGGAGGCTGAGGCAGGAGGATCGCTGTGAGTTTGAGAACAGCCTGGGCTACACAGTGAGTTCCAGGTCAGTCTCAACTACATAGTGAGACCTTGTCTGAAAAAAACAAAAAGAAAAACAATTAAAAGGAAAGTACTGAACTCTAATGGAACATATTCATATTTTTTCTGGTAAAATGACTTTTGGCTTTATTTTCCTAAGACCTGGCTCTAGTTGTAAGTAGGACACCAATTAAAATTAAAATAGTTTAGCAAATGTGACATCATTTGTAGTCTCTAAAACTCTATGCTGACCCCTAAGAAGAAGTGCCATGTAGGACCCTTCTCAATTAGCAAAGGAGGAAGCAGCAAGAATTAAGAAGGCAGAAAGTGGAAGCATGGTGTAGAGTTAGGTCCAAAATACCAAACAAATTGGAATGTGTTCTGGATGGCGGCAAATCTGTGAAACTGCTTATTCTATTTTATAGAACATTTATTAAACCCACTGAATGAAAATAATCATGCTTGGTCAGAAGAGGTGTTGAGAGAAGGTAACAATTTCAAATGATCACGACATTTAAAAATCTAGTAGGAGCAACAATTCAAAGCAAGGAAAGAGGCAGTTCTGGAGCCAGTGTGAAATGGGAGCAGAGTCAGCCAGCCTAAGCATTTGAAAGGAGTAATGTACAAGAACCACTGGGGACTCCTCGGTCCCTGGAATGGCTCTCTGACCAGTAATGGTTATGGGAAGTAGGAAAATAAAAGTGCTAATCTCAAATGTTGCTTTACATCAATCCAGGTACCAGAAAAGCCATGGAAAGAGAGAAAAAGAAAGGAAAGATGGGCCAGCTTTAAATTCTTGATTTAATCTAGAGCTTCAACCCCATTAGAACAAAATCTTAGCAAATATTAGAATTGGAATGTAGGTCGTAGGTTTTTTTTTCTGTTTATTCAATAAAGTAAACTTATAATATGTAGTATAAAAAGTCCATCAAAATTACCCAGTCAGAATGAATAGATATAAGTACATCAGTGAGTGCCTTGTAACAGTCAACAGAAAAAGCTAAAAAAGAAAGGGGGCAAGGATGAGGGAAAATCTATTATCTTATCCATGCCAGCTGAAGGCCTAATTAAAATATGCCCATGGTGAGGCCTATTTCCGGAGAAGGAGTTGGCTTTCGGTATACTCCTTTCATTTAAAACTTCTCATAGAAAGCACCCACACCTTCTTTCCCAACCCTAAGTCTCTTTTCTCTAAAACATACAACTGTGATTCCATGTACTATAATTCTAACCACAAAGGAGCTGTCCAATGGGGAAAGGTCCAAAGTTCAGAATATTAACATACAACTCTAGCCTCCAGGTGCAGGAGAAACTTGGGTCTTTGTTTTGAGGTGTTGTGGAGATGATAATGATGATCATATAGGTATAATACACTGCTACATTACTGTACTGTTTCATCTCATCCTCAGAACAACTCTTTGCGGTGGGTAGAGTGACTATTGTCACCCTCATTGTACAGATCAAAATTATAAGTTGAAATGTCATTTCTACCCTTTTTCCCCCAAATAATTTACTTCATCATCATTGTGCTCTAGGTTGTTTTGGATAATCTTTATGGAGAAAGCGGAGTTTTGGCTGAACATTTCAAGACAGTGAAATTAGGCAGTGGAAGACACAATTGCAGATGTAATTACACAGATTTGGGGAAGAGTGGTGAAGACAATTGCTAGACTAATACCCAATGAGTTAAGATTAAAAGTAAAATAGAATTGTCAGTATATAAATTTATATAATATATATA